TTCGGCTCTTGATCTTCACTAGAGTTCTCCCTCAAAGTACCTGTTGCACCTCTGCTTTTCAACGGGGGTCTTCTGCACATCCTGCCATGGTCACATGTGATGTGTCTTCTGTGTGCAGATTTGAAATCAGCCCCTCTAATATTTTCCATGTAAATTATTATGTATCTCTCCCGCCTGCGCTCAAGAGAAAACCGATTTAAACATTTTAATCGGTTCCCAATAATTTAAATGTCTCATTGAGTGGATTATAGCAGTAAAAGAATCCCTTAATGCTCTCCAGATCAGCAATTTCTTCAGCTTTGAAAGGGGCTGTTAGTGTGCAATTGTGTTAGTGTGCAATAATATTCCACCCTAAAGATGCTTAAACAAAAATAAAATTTTCTCTTCACTTGAAGAGAAAATGAAGATGCAAAGTACAGTGACGCTAGAAGGTCGGGAGTCAAGAGATGGGATGCTGGACCCGCAGAGATACTGAATTAAGACTTGAGTGTTACTGAATTAAGACTTGAGTGTTACTGAATTAAGACTTGAGTGTTGGAGAACATTACAAACTTATACCAGTTATGTTAAGGAGGAATAACTTGGTACCAGCAGAGAGATATAGCACCTCAACCCGTTCTCGCACTTTCGTATAGTCAATATTGACTTATTAAATACGTGCATATGTGACATACTAAACATACTAGTTTACCTTGAAAAGCTTCATAGAAAACACCGACCTTACCTAACCTTCTTAGTATGTTAACATAAGCATCTTATTAGGTATCTTATTAGGCAATAAGATGCTTATCTTAACATACTAAGAAGGTTAGGTAAGGTCGGTGTTTTCTATGAAGCTTTTCAAGGTAAACTAGTACGTTTAGTATATCACATATGCACGTATTTAATAAGTCAATATTGACTGTAAGAAAGTGAGAGAACGGGTAGCACCTGGGCCGGGATGTGAAGACAGGACAGGAGCTGGGACGAGGGAGAAGGAACTTTTCCAACACTATAACTGGACCGTCGGGAATCGAACGCCTGCTCGCAAGAAGTGAAGCCGTGGCTGGTTGATCAGTCCAGCAACCAGGAGGCCTGGTCGACGACCGGGCCGCGGGGACACTAAGCCCCGGAAGCACCTCAAGGTAAGGTGGCGGTTCCGACCAGTCCAACGGGATGAGAACGAAAGGGGTGATGGGGGGGGGGTTGACCCGTTCCAGCAGCCTGTTGCACCACATGTCCATGTCAGGTTGCTCTACCAGGGCATCAGGACATGCAACAACTGAGGACACCAAGACAGGTGTCTGCTGCATGACACAACAGCACCAAGACAGGTGTCTGCTGCATGACATAACAGCACCAAGACAGGTGTCTGCTGCATGATACAACAGCACCAAGACAGGTGTCTACTGCATGACATAACAGCACCAAGACAGGTGTCTACTGCATGACATAACAGCACCAAGACAGGTGTCTACTGCATGACATAACAGCATCAAAACAGGTGTCTGCTGCATGACATAACAGCATCAAAACAGGTGTCTGCTGCATGAATCAAGAATAAAAGGACAGGTGTGTGCCTGACAGATGGACAGGTGTGTGCCTGACAGATGGACAGGTGTGTGCCTGACAGATGGACAGGTGTGTGCCTGACAGATGGACAAGTGTGTGCCTGTCAGGTGGACAGGTGTCAGTGCTCTATGATAATGTTCCAGCTTGATCCTTTTGTGGAATAATGCAATATCCAAATCAAATAAAGTGGCAGAGGTCGCCCTGTAGTACTCAACTCGTCCTCCGGATATGAGTGTACTTATACCAACTGTCTGGACGAAAGTACCCATATATGTACCGTTGGTTCCAATAAATCATCACGTTTTGTACTATAAATTTTGCAGAGGCCCAAAAAAAAGCTGATTTCCAAACTTAAACATTCCTAGGCCCAGTAAATATATATGTATATATATATATATATATATATATATATATATATATATATATATATATATATATATATATATATATATATATATATATATATATATACCATATTAAGCCTATTACTGATGGGAAAGGTCAGGTTCTTTAGTTGCCATTTCAATAGTCTAGACTGCCATTTGGACTAATTCAGTAATACAAAACAAGCATTGTTGTTGTCCAACAGTACATTTGTCCAAATGGTTTCAGTAAGTACTGTACCATCATTTCTGGAGGAAGGACTGTAGGGGCTTTTTTCCCAACCACAGACGTGGCCAAACATATACAATGCTAATTACCATATATATACAATTTCTTCTGTTCTCCATAGACAGGGGCTAGAGATCTGTTCAACATATAGTTCAGGGAATGACTGAACAATCAGTAGTGGTGGCCAGTGAGGCATCGTAGAGCCCCCTCACCTTGTGGTATTAAAGCCTTCGATCACGAAGTGTCTCATTCACGCCCAGTGTTCCAGCAACTGGAAGGAAGCCTTGAGCAGGTCTTGCGGGTAAACGGCGGGAGTGTGTACCTTTGGCCTAACAGTCCACCTTTGCCCCGCTGGATGATGTTCAAGGTGTCTCCGTTACATTCACATGCACGTCTATGCATTTAAGCATATCTTATTATGTCATCACAAGTCCTTTATTGGCAACAGTCACGCGCCGGCCGCTCCTTCAAGGCCACCTTGCTGACAGTGGGAACATTGATGGCAGGGGGAAATATTGATGGCGGGGAGAATATTGATGATGGGGGGGGGGGAAATATTGATTACAGAGGGAATATTGATGACAGGGGGAACATTGACGACAAGGGGAACATTGATGACTGGGGGAACATTGATGACAAGGGGAACATTGATGACTGGGGGAACATTGATGACAAGGGGAACATTGATGACAGGGGGAACATTGATGGCAGGGGGGATATTGATGATAGGGGGAATATTGATTACAGGGGGAACATTGATGATAGGGGGAACATTGGTGACAGTGAGAACATTGATGATGGGGGGCATTGATGACAAAGGGAACGTTGATAACAGGAGAAGCACTGATGACAGGGGGGTAATATTGATGGCAGGGGGGACATAGATGACAAGGAGAACATTGATGACAAGGGGATCATTGATGACATCTGGAACATTGAGGACAGGATGAAGCAAACACTGCCTTTGTTTACTTCTGTACTGTACATAAATATAGTCCCATTCACTATACACTAGTCATTTACTATGCCTCATGCTATACTTTTCTGTTGGCTATACTATTCCTCATGCTATTTACTAATCAACACAATATTTATTATTACCAATCGTACTATTCAATGTCTCCAAAATCTAACCCGTCTCATCTGCGCCAGTTATCCACCATGCCTGTCTTTTATCCACCTCTTATGCATCTCTTATCCACTATCTTATCCACCAGCTCCATACGGTCGTGTCCTGATTTTATTCGTGGCCCCAAAAGCCCCTTCCTCCTGTTTTATCGACTACCTCCCTATCCCCCCATTCCATGTCAGGCAGCCTCATTCACAATCCCCCCCCCCCATTCACTCACCCCCAGCCTCATTCATCCAGACCCATTCATCCACCCCCAGCTCCGTTGAGTCTCCCCCGTCCTCCTCCTCCCTCATGGCCCCCCACAACATAAAGTGTTCCCAGCTCGTCATTGGGAGCTGGGGAGCCCCCCCCCCCCCTCGGTAATGATGACCGCCGGCTAATATAATTGAGGCGAGAATTGATCACATTAGAGCTTGATTCACTCTGGAGAGTCAGGCTGTTGCCATATTGACCGTGCGCCGGTCATTAATGGCAACAGGAACGCCGCCAGCGTTCATTGGCGACTCTCTTCTCCTCCCCCCCCCCTCCCCCTTTACGAGCTGTTAGATTGAATGTTTGAGTTATCTCAAGTTTTTAATGCACGGATGTTGCATGTTGGGAAGGGGTGTGTATGGGGGATCGTTTAGCAGTCGGGGTGGTGAGTACCGACGGGGGTATGTAGCAGCCAATTGGTAATGAGGCTGTTTAAAAGCCTATTCAACCCAATGTTTTGTACTGATATTATTCTTATTCGTGGCCTTGGCTTGGGATACACGCACATTGCTTTGAGAGTATGTGCGTGTGTGTGTGCGTGTGCGTGTGTGTGTGCGTGTGCGTGTGTGTGTGCGTACTTACCTAGTTGTGCTTGCGGGGTTGAGCTCTGGCTCTTCGGTCCCGCCTCTCAACCGTCAGTGTGTGTGTGTATTGGTTGTCGAGGCCTTTGGTTTGAGCGCATCGTGTTGTATCGAAGTTTAGAACGCGTGAGATAAATAGCAAACCCGAGTAGTCTCAAGCTTGCGAGATTAGGCCCGTTTATTCCTCCGAGACTCGCAGCATCTCAGGGTAACTATAGATTTACACGTCACAAGCTTCTCTCACACAAACACACACACACACGTAACAATCATATTAATATTACTCCGTTCAGAACAAACACATTGTAAGCCTGGTGCTCGGGGCCTGGAAACTTAAGCCAGCGCCGCGATGATTCTGACACAACCATTGGATATAAGAGACCCGCCAGCTTTCTCATAATTCGCTGCCCGTTATAACAATAGCAGTTATGTTTGTATTCCATTACGTGGCTCCTCCCAGGGGGGGCGTGGCCGCCGCCCGCCCCGCCCACCTCCCTGGTACCCACGCTCGCCGCCAGAGCACACTAGTCGACGCACATTTTTTTTTTCTCTAAGACGCTAACAGGCGTTTTGCTGCTAACTTATCCAAGCGTATTTTGAAGATAAATGCATTGATTCCTTGGTGGAAATTGACTCTAGTGTTAAAAATACCATGAAGAAATGACTGATGGAGCTTCAGTTATCAGTTTACGTGGAATAAAGCTGTATTCTCAGAGATAAGGAAAGATATTAATTGTGTAGGCGGAGTCAGCTTTGAGTTAACATCGCGGCAGCCAATGAGCGCGTAGATTTGCACCTGGCTGTCGGCTGGCCGACCAATGAGAAGCCGCCCCCGACAAGGCGATCCAGGCGGTAAGCTCCATGTGTTGATCATGTAGTCAACATCGTGTAAGTGTCAACATTACTATCTAGGCTTCCTGTTCGCCTTCCCTACGTGCTGATGGGAACTTCTGGGACGCGGTGCCCCGTGTGAGCAAACTGCGACGCTGTGTACGGCTAAAATATTGACTCTTGAGGAGATAGATCGCTTGTAGTGAGAGGAGGATGACGCGAGGAGCGCTGGCAGGGCCGAAGTAGCGCGGTGGCGGGGCTTGGCTGCTGCTGCTGCTGCTGCTGCTACCCTGGCGGCTGGCCATGGTCATGATTCCCACGCCCTCCACCGTCATTCACACCTCCACGCGCCCCAAGTTGGGCTTTTCTATAGACAGCATCGTCGGGCGTGGGGGAGTAGACTCGAGGGCGTCGCCGCCCCCTTCCCCTGGCTCCCCTAGAGGGAGCCCGCCGCCCACCAGTCCGCTCGGGCATCTCCACGACCTGCACAAAACGCAAGTCCGGATACCCGAACCTATCCACCCGTTGATACCTACGTCTGTGCCTTCGTCGCTAGCCCACCACCATGCCGCCGCCATCCCGTCCCTACAGGCCCTGCCCGGCCTGCACATGCCGCAGGCGCTGCACCTGGCGGCGTTGCTGCCACCAGGCGCTGGGCACGGCCTGCACCACGCCGTGCCCCCCGTACTCTTGGGACAGATGCCGCACCTGGGAACGCCCTTACCCCCGGCGCCCGGACCCAGGGAGTTCCCGCTGTACCCGTGGCTCCTCTCCAGGCACTCCAGGCTCTTCGGCCACAGGTTCCCAGGTAAACCTCAGCACTTTTCTCACTGGCTCTCAACCTATCCCCCCAGCCCTCAGGCTCTCAATCTATCCCCTAGAGGCCTCACCGTATCCCCCCACAGCCCTCACCCTATCCCCCCACAGCCCTCACCCTATCCCCCCACAGCCCTCACAGCTGGAGCGTCACCCCTGGGTGTCCTGTTTGGTTAGCAGCAGTAGTAATACCATTGGTCATAGTATTATATTATAATTCTCTTTTTTTATAATTATATTTATTAATATTGGTATCTTTATCTTTAATATTTTTATTAATATTGTTATAATTAATATTGTTATAGAGGAGGTAATAAGGTGTGTGTGTCACCCTGGAGTCTGCCTCTGACGGTCCCGGAATTGAATATTATTATTCGTATAATTATTTTAATTGTTGGTGCTGTTGTTATTGACATTTTCTGCATCAGTTTAAAAGGGATCATAATAATAATAGTATTACTGTAATACTAATAATATTTATATTTTTCGTTATGTTTTGATAAGTGTGGTGAGAATTATTAGCATTATAATAATAATGCTAGTTTAAGTATTTAGTTAGTTTAATTATTTATTTTATTGGAATTACTATTATAATCATTGGCATTATTACTAACTATATAGTATTATCGTTTATTTGTGACTTATTATTATTATTTTTATTATTATTATTATTATTCTTTCACACTGGAGCGATATATCAATTAACATTTTGTACCATCATGGCTGAGTCGGTTGAGGCAGGTGTCTGGGAAGCACAAGAACGTTGATTCAAGTTATTCCATTACCTCAAAATTATTTTAATTATTATTATTAGTAGTAGTAGTAGTAATAATATTAGTAGTAGTAACAGTAGTAGTAGTATCAAAATTACAGTATAGAATAGTTTTGCCATACAAGGGATGGTTGGGTCCATACAGGTACTTGGGTAATGGTGTATGGAAGTGAAGGTGGTACACGAGGGTCGATATATATATATATATATATATATATATATATATATATATATATATATATATATATATATATATATATATATATATATATATACAGTACTGAAAGCAATGAGGCTAGTCTTTGTTGCTGTGAATTTGGTTTAATCATCATAGTTTTTATTACACAATGAAATCACATTAGCGTGATGTATCCATGAGGAAAGCAGTAGGAGTCACGAGAAGGATTCGAACCCACACACACTTAGTACGAAGGTAGAACTACTGAACCACACAGCCAGAGTGTAAGGGGGAAGGGGGGGATTGGATGAAGCCCCCCCCTGATTGGAAGACTCAGGGGGCCCCCTAGAGGAGTCAGTTAAATTCCAGTTTGCATTGCTGTTTGATCATGTTATGGTGCAGTGGTTTAGGTGGTGGGCTAAGGAGTACTAAGTGCGTGGGTTCGAATCCTTCTCATGACTACCACTGATTTTCTCATTATTATTATTATTATTATATTTTTATTATTATTAATATTTTAATATTTGTTATTATTTTCTTTTACATTATTATAGTTGTTTTTTATTGTTATTTTCTTCGTTAAATATATTATTATTATTATCATCAGTGTAGCATAATATTTAATGTTTTCTTACTGCTGTTGTTATTGGCTGTCAATATTATTAATATAATTATGTTTAAAGTTATTAACAGTGCAATAGCAGTTGTGATTGGGCAATTACTGCATAATTTATGATGATTGCCATTTCAAGACTGCATTGATTTTCTTAAAATTGCAGAGTTTTTGTAGGTTTTGCAGTTGGGCGCTAATATATTTGCCAGCTAATTGGTATTTAATGATCACAATCACACACACACACACACACACACATACATATATATATATATATATATATATATATATATATATATATATATATATATATATATATATATATATATATATATATATATATATGTCGTACCTAATAGCCAGAACGCACTTCTCAGCCTACTATTCAAGGCCCGATTTGCCTAATAAGCCAAGTTTTCATGAATTAATGTTTTTTCGTCTACCTAACCTACCTAACCTAACCTAACCTAGCTTTTTTTGGCTACCTAACCTAACCTTACCTATAAATATAGGTTAGGTTAGGTTAGGTAGGGTTGGTTAGGTTTGGTCATATATCTACGTTAATTTTAACTCCAATAAAAAAAAATTGACCTCATACATAGAGAAATGGGTTGCTTTATCATTTCATAAGAAAAAAATTATAGTAAATATATTAATTCAGGAAAACTTGGCTTATTAGGCAAATCGGGCCTTGAATAGTAGGCTGAGAAGTGAGTTCTGGCTACTAGGTACGACATATATATATATATATATATATATATATATATTCAGGCTTGTTCGCATATATATATATATATATATATATATATATATATATATAATACATTATATATATATATATAATATATATATATATATATATATATATATTATATATATAATGTATTTGTCGTAGCAAGTATTAAGCACGACATATATACCACCATAAAAATGACACATATAAATAATACTAAAATAACCTGGCATACAACAATTATCCAATACATGCTACACTATACTGTATAATGAGCCAATAGAATACACACCATGTTGTATAACAATATTCAGGAGGCATACACAACTATATGGTAATTCGCTGATACAGTTCGCTGTGACTATTATCAACGGTTGTTCCAATGCGCGAGCGACAGACCGCTGGGCGATAGACCGTTGAGCAATAGACTGCTGACTAGTAGAGCACTGAGTGATGGAGCGCTGACTTCAATCTGGTGGGGGGGGGGGGGCTTCCAATGTATTGTACCGAATGTTGTGTTGTGTTAGGAATAGGGCCTAGTTGTGTTAGGGGCCTAGTTGTGTTAGGGGCCTAGTTGTGTTAGGGGCCTAGTTGTGTTAGGGGCCTAGTTGTGTTAGGGGCCTAGTTCGTGGCGGAAACGGGTTAAACCTATTTCCAGGTACAATACTGGAATTGGTTAGGACAAGTTCCAGAAACGATGGCACTGGAACCAGTTAGGTTATATATAGCTGTGTGTGTGTACTCACCTAGTTGTACTCAACTAGTTGTGTCTGCAGGATCGAGTATTGACTCTTGGACCCCGCCTTTCGAGCATCGGTTGTTTACAGCAATGACTCCTGTCTCATTTCCCTATCATACCTGATTTTACCTTTGTGTGTGTGTGTGTGTGCACGTGTACTCACCTAGTTGTGCCTGCGGGGGTTGAGCCCTGAATCTTTGGCCCCGCCTCACAACTGTCAATCAACTGAACCCCCCCCCCCCACACACTCAGGAAGCAGATCGTAGCAGCTGTCTAGCTCCCAGGTAGCTATTTACTGCTGGGTGAACAAGTGCATCAGGGTGAAAAAAAACTCTGCCCATTTTGTTTTCGCCTCCATGAGGATTGAACCCAGAATCTCAGGACTACGAATCCGAAGCGCTGTCCACTCGGCTGTCAGGCCCCTTTGTGCGTGCTTGTGTGTGTGTGTGTGTGTGTTTACAAATAGTAAATTCACACACGCACACAGGCCTCGTGACTGAGTGGTCTGCGCTCGATATACTCAAAGCTATAAACTAATTATTACAGGATATATACTCCAAGCCATATAACAATTCCCACATAGAATATACTCAGCGTCATATTGTCAGTGTCATACTACATAGGATATACTCCATGCCATACAATAATGTCCAAATATGATACCCTCCAAGGGGTATAATTATTACCGGTCTGGACATACCTTCTGACATGTGATGATGGTATGTGAGGATATCCAGTCCCTTCTCTCAATAACACTTACCTGTCGTGTATATACCATGACATGAAGCTGGGAGGCAAGTAAACACACTGTAAACTGAGGTGATGTACACTCATGACGTGGTCTACCTTGTTCCTCCACACGCTGTAACCACACGCTGTTATACACGCTGTTATACAGGCTGTTATACACGCTGTTATACAGGCTGTTATACATGCTCTTATACAGGCTGTTATACAGGCTGTTATACACCCTGTTATACACGCTCTTATACACGCTGTTATACACGCTCTTATACAGGCTGTTATATACGCTGTTATACAGGCTGTTATACACGCTGTTATACACGCTGTTATACAGGCTGTTATACATGCTCTTATACAGGCTGTTATACAGGCTGTTATACACCCTGTTATATACGCTGTTATACACGCTGTTATACACGCTCTTATACAGGCTGTTATACAGGCTGTTATACACGCTGTTATACAGGCTGTTATACAGGCTGTTATACATGCTCTTATACACGCTGTTATACACGCTCTTATACACGCTGTTATACAGGCTGTTATACACGCTGTTATACAGGCTGTTATACACGCTGTTATACAGGCTGTTATACAGGCTGTTATACACGCTCTTATACACGCTGTTATACAGGCTGTTATACACGCTGTTATACAGGCTGTTATACACGCTCTTATACACGCTGTTATACAGGCTGTTATACAGGCTGTTATACAGGCTGTTATACACACTCTTATACACTCTGTTATACAGGCTGTTATACAGGCTGTTATACACGCTGTTATACAGGCTGTTATACACGCTGTTATACAGGCTGTTATACACGCTCTTATACAGGCTGTTATACAGGCTGTTATACACCCTGTTATACACGCTCTTATACACGCTGTTATACAGTGGGGGCCAAACCCGTCCTGGCTCGAGGCATTCAGTAATACTGTACCAGAATATACAGTGATATACGGTAATAATGTTGCAGGAATATACTGTGTCATACAGCAATAATTTAATCATTTGTTCAAGTGTGTCGTGTCGATTTGACTCGATTTATACTGTCATGTAAAACGTTTATATTTTGTATTTCTTTTTTTTTGTTTTCCAGTATTTTTCAAGATTTTACGGATATTCAATTTGCCATCCAGTTATATGCTAGATAGCCACATTATAAAAATACATTTATTTATTTATTTATTTATTTATTTATTTATTTAT